TATATATACAAATTTATTTATATCTATAACAAGCTAATCTCTAAATTATGACAAGGTTAAAATAAAATAATAGAAGTTTTTAAACAAATTATTTCGAAATGAAAAATAATTATAAATATTCATTTTTTAAATTTTAGTTTAAATCAAAGTAATTATTGACAAATTTTGTATTCAGAATATTTGACGTATTTTCAGAATATTTGACGTATTTTCAGAATATTTGACGTATTTTCAGAATATTTGACGTATTTTCAGAATATTTGACGTAACATTATATACAAATGTTTCTGGCAAAAAGACATAGATCAAGGTTTATTATTAAAATAAAAACTCTCAAAAATTACAATCGCTTGTCCAGATTAGATTAGGATCTTAAATAAAATTGTTTTTTAGGTGAAAAGAACATCATAGTTTAATAATATAATCTATTCTTATAGGTTGTTGTCAGTTTTTCTTAGTTATAAGCTCTTTTGTGGACGGGATTTTTAAATTTTGTATTAAATTCAATGAAATTGTTGTATTTTGACTAATATATTCAGTTAATAATATTAACTGAACATATTGGTAAATATATATAAATATATGACAAATGTATTCAGTTAATAATATTAACTAAATATATTTGTCAAAATACAACATTTTTATTAAATTTAATACAAAATGTAAATATAGTATATATAAATATATAACAAATGTATTTAGTTAATAATATTAACTAAAATATTTTTAGTTAATCATATTAAAATATTAACACAGTTAAGTAATTAGTCATATTAATCATATCATTAATTACTTAACTGTGTTAGTAAGATCATTAATTACTTAATTGTGTTAGTAAGATCATTAATTACTTAATTGTGTTAGTAAGATTGTTAATTACTTTATTGTGTTAGTAAGATCGTTAATTACTTAATTGTGTTAGTAAGAGCATTAATTACTTATAAACAACCAACAATAGAGACAGCTATTTTAAATGTTGATTAAAAAATGCAAAAAATTAATTTACTAAGAAAATTACTACCTTTACTTACAAAGATATTTACATTTTATTATTCTAATATTCTTATTTTTATTATTTATAATTTACTACTAATTAATTCATTATTTGATTACTAATTGATACTTACTTATTGATAATTGGTACTTAATTTGGACTAATTAGAGATATTTTGGCATTTAAAAGATGATTTAATCACAAGATTCAAATTTGTAAACAGATTTGTATTAGTTAAAATACAACATTTTCATTAAATTTAATAGAAAATTTAAAAATCCTGATCGCAAAAGAGCTTATAATTAAAAAAAACTGACAATAACCTATAAGAACAGATTATATTATTAAACTATGATGTTCTTTTCACATAAAAAACAAATTTATTTAAGATCCTAATCTAATCTGGACAAGCGATTGTGATGTTTGAGAGTTTTTATTTTAAAAATAAACTTTGATCTGTTTTTTTGCCAGAAACATTTTTATATAATTATAAACTTATTATGCAACAGAATAGATCAGAACTAAGATCTAGGTGGAGTTAATGATGTAATGATAATGAGTGATACCAATCTAATGACTCCAATATTGTGTAATACAAAAATTTTAAAAATAAAAAAGTTTTTTTTTAAACATCAGAAAAACCTGACCCAAAAAATCTTATAAAGTCTAAAGCTCTTGTTTCGGCATAATACACTGACAAAAGCATTTGAATTCTAAATTTAAGAATTCAAATAATATATCTTCTTAACTCCACCGAGTTTTGTTTTTTGGCGAACAACCCTAGTCTAAACAAAACTTTATTACAACGTTAGTATTAGCTGGGCGACGTTGTCCAACATAATTCTACATAAATCCAATGTTGGTTCCAAATCGTTTTTTGTTTTTTATCATTTCTAGTTGCAATTTTTTCTATTTATTTGCTACATTTGATACATTTCAATGATATTGATAGAATTTTATATTTATAATAATTTATAACCTTACATAATAATAAATAAGTTGCAATTTTTATTAATAAATTGCAATTTTTACAAATGAATCTTAATTTTTATTATTTTATATCCCTTAAATGTGATTTATTACGGTTAATGAGGTGCGGTAAATGCAATGACATTTCTTTCAGAGCCAAACATCCATCACTTTATACTCAAATGATGAAGAATAATAATGAAGTTCTTGCTGAACAATTGGCTAATAAAAAATCAGCTGAAAAGGATGAAAATTAAATCTTGCTTAATGAGAGGCTTTTTTGCTCCAGTAAAGCACAGTTGGTTGGATAACATTACCCCATTTGAGTCACATTTTCAGAAAAGTTCCAGCCAAACCACATTGTATGATTTTTCCAAGGTAAAGAAGTGTCCATTACAAAGTGAGGCACAGCTAGAATTTGATACAGTTTTTACACTTGCTTTTATTCTTTCAAATTTGCCATTTACCATAATTGAAAGTCCTGGTATTAAGATGCTATTGAACTATCTATGTCCTCAAGCGAATCTGAAAGCTGTAACTACTCTTTCAAAAGTCAAACTGCCAATGTTATACAAGAATATAAAGTAAAAGAGCAACTTGAAAAAGATATTCCTGATTGCAGTTTAGTGGCTTTTACACCTAATGGTTGGACTTTAAGGAACAACGACCCTTATGAATTCTTGACAGTCCACTATATCAGCAAGGATTTTGAATTAAAAAAGCTGTCTTTGGATTGCCAAAACTTTATTGGATTAAAAACCGGTTTTATACTAACTAAAGGATTGGACAGCATGATTTCTAAATTTCCAATCTTAGCTGAGCAAAATTTAACACAAGTTTGTGTGACAGATAGGGCTTCAATTATGAAGTCTGCTGTTGGTCAAAGCACTTTGATCAAAAGTTCTATTCATATGGTTTGTGCTGATCATATCTTAAACAACTGTTTAAAGGATGCAGTCAAAAAAACCATAAGTTTTGATGTCCTTGAAAAAAAAATGCAAAGACTAAGTCAAAGAACACATCAGAGCTCACTTGATTGGGAGGAAATCAAGGCAGGATGTACAGCTGCAAGTGTACCAGTGACAAAAATCATTCAGCCTGTTTTTACCCAATGGAACTTGAATTACATGATGCTAAGTTCAATTCACAATATTAAAGCTGGTTTGTTAGTAACACTTGAAAATATATGCAAAGATCGATATAATTCCTGTTGAGGCAGATTTCAATGTTATTTAAAATGTTCTATTTTTTTTGGAATTGTGCAAAAATTACTCTGATGGTCAGCAGACAAAAGTGTTACAATTGCTAAATTTCAACAAAATGTCGTAACACTCTACATTGTCAGTGAAGACAAAATAGAAACATTAAGAGTAAGCAATCCTCTGGTTTGTAAATTTATTGAGATGTTCCTATCTGAGATGAATAAAAGGTTGCCAAACAAAGGACTTTCTTTGAGTTACCTTGATATTTCTTCTTTTCTACATCCATTTTAGAAAGGTCACTCATTGTCAGAAATAACAAACACTTGTCATGACAAACACTTGCCATGACAATTCAATGTATGGTTAAAAATTATGCAACAACTACGCAATTCTATGAGTGACTCTGGGAAAAAAAGTCATTATTAGAACCCTGGATGACCCTACAAACATAAAGTTCCACAAAAAAATGTCTCAAATTGCACAATGCTCAACTGAAACATTTCCTCCACTATAGAGGGAAATAAATATTTACAAAGACATGGAATCGGCCTCTAAAAATGTTGATGTTTTAGCATGGTGGAAAAATAATGCTAAGGAGCAACCTTTACTTTCTAGTCTTGCAAGAAGCTATTTATGTATACCAGTAACCTCTGCTTTATCTGAAAGAATGTTTTCTTTAGGTGGTTAAATAGTCACTAATCGGCGGTACAATCTAAATCCAGATAAGCTTAGAATGATGGTATTTGTCAAAGAAAACTATCCGGTGGTTAAATCAAACACTAAGCAATGGAAAAAATTTTGTGAAGAATACATCCTGTGAGTTAATAGATGAAATCAGTTTTGAAATTGATACACCCACATCTACAAATTAATTTCTAGATTCGTTGGACTTCTGTATCTTGTAGAAAATCCAGATCACAGACATCTTTCTCTTCATAAAATATATTAAAATAAACAAACTTTTTTTGTTTTATTTTGTATTAATAAATGAAATAAAGTACATATATTTAGTATATATATATATATATATATATATATATATATATATATATATATATATATATATATATATATATATATATATATATATGTATATATATATGTATATATATAAGTATATATATAAGTATATATATATATATATATATATATATATATATATATATATATATATATATATATATATATATATATATATATATATATATATATATATATATATATATATATATATATATATTAAATATATGTTCTTAATATATTATGCACATATAAATGATATATGTGTTAAATATATTCAAACTATTTATTGGTAATAAATAGTTTTAATACAACTCTTAACTGTTGAAAAATAGAAATGCATTTTTAAATAGAAAGGTGATAAAAAGTAAAAACTTAATTAAAGAGTTTATTCAAAAAAAGAAATATATTTATAACACCATGCATAGTACTGTTCTTATTTTCTAATATCTAATATTACTCTGCGGAAATTAATACAAACAGCGAATGGCATTTAATAAAAAAAAACTCTTTATAGAAAATCTACCTTGCGATGTAGCTTTTCTATACATAATGTGTCAGATTTCTATACATTTTAGTAGTATTTCTATACCGCGTTGAGTTTCTATACAAATTCGTTGTGTTTCTATACATTTTTTATAGAAACTCTACACATTCCTCTTGTCATCATCATCATCATCATCATCATCATCATCATCATCATCATCATCATCATCATCATCATCATCAAAAAGGTTAAACTTTTTTTTTAGTGAGCATATGTCAGATTTTTTTTCTAGTAGCATGTTGTTTATGAATTTTATTTTTGGTTTTAGAAATATAAAATTTCCTGATAATAATGAAAATGAATTAGAACCCTGTAAAAAACTTCCATTTCAATACTCCAATCAGTGTTTAAAAAAAGGTATAAATAAATTATGATAAATTTTTTATAATTAAAAATATTACAAATTTGTTTTAACTTTTAAATTTCATTGTGTTGAATTGTTTTATAGCTTAAAAATATTTTACATTTTTTTAAAAGAAAATCAGCAAAACGGATGGCATCCTGTTAGCCAATGTTGGACTACTAATCATTTAATTTATATAGGCTGCAGTGAAAACTCAATTATCTGTGTAGAGACTATATCTGGAAATACATTGGTTGTATACATTTCTGATTCTGGTAAATATTGTAATCATAATCATAACAATAGTTCAATATTCTTTACTTTTTCTTTTTCTTTACTTTTTCTTTACTTTTTCTTTACTTTTTTATAATTCTAGTGATTCTAGTACTATAAAAATCATATGGAAAAGATGGAGTCCATTTAATTTAGACAAATTTAGACCTTCATTATATCCACAATAACTAACTTTGATGACATGAAAAAACTTTCTTGCATGAAATAACTCACTAATAATAAATAAAAGTTTCAAAATATTTTAATTAGTGATGTACCAATTTCACTTTTGTGGCCGATGCCGATATAGATGCCAATGTATAGGAAAAGACTGATACCAAATGGATGAACTGATTATTAAAATTTTTGAAAATGTAAAACCATACAAGTTTAATTTGTGTAAACTTTCTCATGGAATCAGAACTGGTAAACAAATGCTTGGACCCAAATCAGAGCCAAACCCTTATTTTAAAAAATACTAGAAAAGGTCAGTTAAAATAGTTTACATTTTTTAGGCTTATAAACATCATCTTAAGATTAAACAAATTTGCCTGTAAACAAAATCAATATAAACAATTTCTCAAAAAATTTCTAAGTAATCCATTAGGTTTATTTTATTTACTATTATAATGCAGGATAAAAATATTCAAATGCCATTAGTTAGAAAATTGGTTAATTAATAAAAAAAGGCTGATACCAATACTGATTTCACTTGTGCAAAAAGTGGTCGATTAAGTCAATGCTTATTAATCGGTACATCACTAATCTTAATAAATTTCCTTAGAACTTATAGATATAAAAGGTATAATTAACTGAAATTTTTAATTATAAAACTTATCAAATGTTTAGATATTTCTGATCTTTTTGAGTGTATTCAGTTTTACAGAGATTGCTTAGTGGTTGGTGGAAAGGTAAAAACTTACATTTGATGTAATATTGTTCATATTGTTTTTTCAATTATATTTTCAATTTTTTTTCAATTATTTTTTTTAGGATGGAGTTATAAGATGTTTTAAAATAGCAAAAGAAAACTTGTTTCCAATTTTTGAAAAAAAAATTAATGGAGTTGTTAGTTCTTTGCAAGTTAATAAATCTTTAACAACATTGGTTATAGGAAGCAATTTAGTAAGTTCACTCTTACTTTTTACTTTATTTGTATGATTTTTATATTAAATATATTTAATTTTAAAGGTGGTAGCAATAATTTATTTCATTAATTGATTAAAAGATTGGTGAATGGTTTTCCAAATAACCCTACTCACTTTCTCCTTCATTTGTGTCTTGTCTCCTAACTTGTACTCAGTTTCCCTTAATTTTTTTAGGTATTTCAAACCATGCTATGATATCACTAAATTATATCATACATCTTCTATATTAGGTTCAAGTAGTAAGTAAAAAATGTAATGATAGGGTATCATTACATTTTTTTATTTTTGCCACAAGACTGATTGAGAATTCTTTTTGTGATTTTCATTGTCATGAGCTTTGGACTAATGTCTTTTGTCTGTCATGACATGGAAGTTTTCATTTCTTTTTGTTTGTTTCAAGTCAAGCCTCACTCTTCCCCATTCTTTTTTTCGTGTAGCTGCTACATTCTATTTCTCACACATTGATCTCATTACTTTTCCCAAGAATATGGCAAATATATTTGCAAAGAACTTTCTTTCATTTCTTAAATCTAATGGCTGCATGCTTCACCTCATCCTTGAGAAACATGTTCAATGCTAGGCATCCAAATTATTGTTGTTAAAATTGTTTCTCACTAGAGCTCATCTAGAGCTTGTGGTTTGAACAACATTTCTGTCACAGTCTTACAAGAGTATTCTCCAGAACATGCTTCAGTTCTCTCTAAATTATTTGTGCATAATAGAATCTTATTTTCCTGCTTATTGATCAATTACATTTGTGGTTCTAAATTATAAAAACTCTGGATATTGTTCTGACCTTATTACCTGATCAGTCTTCTTGGCATTATTAGCAGGGTCTTTGAGTCTTTAATTAACAAACTTTTAATTTTTCATTTTGAATCTTGTGATACTGTTGACTTGTTAACTGTTTTAACGAAAGGTTCTATTTTAAATCAGGAAGCAGTGGGGCAAAGACTGTTGTTCTTGACATATTTAACGTTTTTAATAAAATCTAGCTAGTACTCAACTGCTTTTGACTTGTTCTTCAGCTTATTGCATTTTTTTATTGTAACTGTTTCTTCATACTCAAAAATTTTCTTGTTCTAGTTGTTCTAAACCTAGTTGTTTTCCTCAAACAATGTTACTCTAGAATTCTCTACTGTCTTAATGTTTTCTTGACTCATACAGTTTTTTTTTTCTGTCAAATATTTTTTGCTCTTTAACTTTTTCCTTTGCTTTTTATTTTTGTAGTTTTACTCCCAACTTAAATGTTACTTGCAGCTTGCAAATAGCTTTTAGCATGACAGTTCTTTAAAAAATCACACTAGCATTACTTTTAGCATGACAGTTCATTGAATCAAGTATTTTCAGTATGATAGTTCTTTGAAACAAGTAACAGTTAGCTAATCAACTTTACCAAATAGGTTTAGAAAAGGCAAAAAAAAATTTTTACTAATAAATTGTTTTTGATGTAAAAAATTTCTGCATGAACTATTAAGGCATTATATTTTTTGCAATTTTTCCTAAAATTTAATTCCAAAGTTTTAAATTTTGTTTTTTATTTGCTTTTTTAGTTTTGAATAGCTTAAAAAGCAATTTTAAATTTACAAGACAACAAAATATTAAGTTGTTTCCAAGACAACAACAAAAGAAAATTCAAACAAGCTACAACAAACTCCCAGACGATAAAGAAAACAAAGTTTATTTCTTCCTTTTTGTATTTTTTAAATTTTTTAAAGCCAACAATATTAGGATCATCTTGTATGATCCTAATATGTATCCAATACATCTCTTATGAACTTGTTAATTAGATATTAAACAAATAGTAGAGTTTACTCTAACTCCTTTCCTACAAACTGGTTACTTCCTAGTATTTTCTACTTATCCATTCTTGACTTTATAATGCATAACCTTTGTCTTATGTTTATTCTTTAAGCTCTTTTGCTTCTATTCCATCTTTCCAACTTATATTATTGTATATATATATTTCTTTTATAATTTTAATTTGATTATAAAAATATAAATTGAAAAAAAGTTAGTGTAGTTTTTTTTTTTACCAAAGTTCAAAAATAGAGAGTTTAAAGACTTATTTTGCTACTTTTTGGATTATATTTTAAATTAAATTGCGAACAAAAAGTATGTTCAAAGTAGCTTTCAAAATTCTTATTAAACTAAGAAGCATTTGTTAGAAATATTTTATTAATTTATGAAGTATTTATATTTTTAGGGTGTCATCTACTTAATGAACACTGAGAAAGCAATTCTTAATGAACTTCTTGATGAATATTCAGGAAAGATTATTGGTATTAATTGCTTGTCTAAATCACATTTTGTTGTAAGTGAAAAATTCTCCTGTTTCAACTGTTTAAAATAGTTTTTAAAGTAGATAAAAAAGTTTTCAATTTTTTAGTTTTTTTCAAATCTGCTTTGTATACTGTTAATGGGTTTTTTGTTTTTTATTTGTTGTTACAGCACACTTTATTTTTTTTTTGTTGCAGCACACTTTATTTTGAAATATAATAATTTTAAATTTATTTATAGTAGATAAGAAATATGTTTTTTTTTTTAAATTCTTTAATTAATATTAAAACTATATCTAAAGCTACATATTAAATGTAATTATATACTTACTAAAATTTTTTTTTTTAATACACCAACATGTTCTTTATTACATACTAAGGTTTCCAAACTCTGTGGCAGCTTTAAAAGAGGCTGATTCTATTAACAGCTGTAAAATATAAGAGTATTAACAGTGCCATGTTGCACATGGATGGTTTCCCTGTTAGTGCTTTTGATGTGCATTATCAAGGTCACTAAAGAAACCCTAAGTTATGATTTTAGGTTTAATAGCAGGTCTAAGGCAATTACATAGATCATTGCTTAGGATACAATTGTCAATCTATGAAATCTATCAGGTAGCGATATAGTTTTTATGTTTAATATTTTACCCAAAAATATAAAGCATAAAAAACCATATCGCTATCTGTCTCAATATACCTTTTATGTATATTTGTGGTCCTTTAAGTAACTTTCCTTTAAGTAATCTTACTTTTCTTTAAGTAATCTTACCTTTTTCAAAATTTACTCTTTGCTCTTTTATAATTTGGTCTTTATAAGACTAATTTGAATTGGGCTGTTTCTTCTTTGGATCTCAGTATTGGTGGTTTTGTTTTGCTTTGTATTATTATTTGATTTGCAAAGACTCCAATAGTTACAGGCTTGGCTTATATGTATACTAATGCATCAATTCACCTATTTGTCATGAAATCAGGTTTGAACTCTTTGACCACTGACCATCCTTTTATGTGCTTCTGCTTAGCACCACTTTACTTAATCACCTTTCACTTTGTTCTTTATTATTCTCTTTCTCTTGAATGCACCCCTTTAGATGAATTTCTAATCAAATTGACTAAGCCCTTTCTCTTTATCCCTCTGGTAATATTTTTGCTTTTGGTGACTTTTATGCTCATAATGAATGGTTTGGCACTACAAACCTTGCTGGCACTAAAGCTCCCAACTTTTGTATTTCTCAATATCTTACTTTGATATTTAACTTTTTGACTTATTTTCCATACAACCCTAATCACTTAGCTTTACTCCTTAATTTGTCTCTGACCCTAGTTTGCATTCAAAATCTTTTTTGCTGTACTTCTTTTTTAGGCTTGGATTCCAACTGCTTACTAATACCCTAAAGCTGACTGGAATTCTTTTCATGATTTGGCATGCTGATTTTCTTCATAGGTTTAAATGATATGGTGAATCTGGGAAAATTTTTAAGATAATTAAATCACTTCCTTCTTAAGTATTAAACTCATCTGATCTCTTTTAACTAATATCTTGGGACTTGCAGTGGTTTGTAAATTTTAACTCTAACTAAACTAGTTATTTACTACAAACAACTATTGCATTATTGTTGACATTTATTTATTGATAATTGGCAACTAAGTTTTCTTGGATTATCATTCATTACTGACCTCTTATACTGACCATATAAACAGTTTATTGTGAAGTTATTAATCATTACTGATCTCTCATACTGACCATATAAACAGTTTATTGTAAAGTTATTAATCATTACTGACCTCTCATACTGACCATATAAACAGTTTATTGTAAAGTTATTAATCGTTACTGATCTCTCATACTGACCATATAAACAGTTTATTGTAAAGTTATTAATCGTTACTGATCTCTCATACTGACCATATAAACAGTTTATTGTAAAGTTATTAATCGTTACTGATCTCTCATACTGACCATATAAACAGTTTATTGTAAAGTTATTAATCATTACTGATCTCTCATACTGACCATATAAACAGTTTATTGTAAAGTTATTAATGGTTACTGATCTCTCATACTGACCATATAAACAGTTTATTGTAAAGTTATTAATCGTTACTGATCTCTCATACTGACCATATAAACAGTTTATTGTAAAGTTATTAATCATTACTGATCTCTCATACTGACCATATAAACAGTTTATTGTAAAGTTATTAATCATTACTGATCTCTCATACTGACCATATAAACAGTTTATTGTAAAGTTATTAATCGTTACTTATTGTAAAGTTAGCATCTGCTAAGATTACTTCTCTTTATCTTACTTATGATTCCATTCTCTACAAATCTCTTGGCTATCTCTGAAAGAGCTAGGCAAATTTTGAAAATGCTCGCCAATCATGGGAGATAATGAGGGTAGTCTGTAATTTATGTACATACTAGGCGCTTCCAATTATTGCAAGGTAAACTAGTATACCTAAAAAACTTGCTGGGTACCAGGCACATCATTAATCATGGTTGCTGTTCAAAGGAATTATCATCTTTAGTTCCATTAATCAAAACTCATTCTTGCTTGACTCTTCATTCAGCACAGTTGCATCCTTTTACTGTATCCTGTCCTTTCATGCTCTAAAAAGTTTTATTCATCTGTTTTTTTTTCCTGTTTCAGAACTTTCTCCCACCTTTATGTTTTCCTGACTCATACAACTTGCTTTTAAAATTTTCCATCAAACATTTCCATACTCTTTAACACTCACTTTTGTTCTCTAGTCTTAACATAATAGTGCTTGCTTGCGCCTTTGTTGGGAGTTAGGAAAATTTATAATTGTTTGTCCATGATCTTGCCTACTTAAGTCTGTGTTTCAGTATTCCAGTGTTTTTTTGTCACTATAGCAACTCTTTGTTGGAGTGAAAGTAAAAAGTGTAATAATAATAATTATTTTTCGTTATCTTTTGTTTATTTTCCTATTATTTATTATCATAATAAGTTTGTTTGGCATATAATCAATATTATTTTAAATTATGTTAGACTTTAAACTTATTTCAGACATGTAGAGAAAATGGATTTGTTCAAGTGTGGACCATGGATTTGGCAAGGTGTGTTGGACATTTGCATCTCAGTTGCGAGGTTTCAAAAATTTATTAGGTTCTAATAAATTTTCTACAAAAATTTTTTAATGGCGTTTGTATAAATTTTCTACAAAATTTTCTAGTGGTATTTGTATATACTGGACTACTTCAATAAATATTTTGATTATTAATTTTAAAAGTATTTTTTAGAATAACCTTTGAAATAATAAAGTTTGCTTTTTTTCTCTGCATCAATTCAAACTTGCAAAAACTTACTATGTTTCTTTGTATAAATTCAAACTCAGAAAAATGATTGTTTGTATAAATTCAAACTCAGAAAAATGAGCATTTGTAAATTCTAGCGAAATTTAAAAAAAAAAAACCAATATACATAACCAATATACATATATATTGGTTGTGTTACTTCTACATATATCATATACATATATACATATATATGTATTATATATATGTATATATATATATATATATATATATATTTATATGTATATATATATATATATACATATTATATATATATCATATATGATATATATCAGTAAATATATCATATACATATATATATATATATATATATATATATATATATATATATATATATATATATATATATATATATATATATATATATATATATATATATATATATATATATATATGTATATATTATATATGTATATATATATACATATATATATACATATATATTGGTTGTGTTACTTCTTGTTTAAGTTTTTTTTTAAGTCATTAAATTTAGAATGTTTATGATATTTTATTTCCCTCTAATTTGTTAAGTAAATCAAAATCAAATTAGTAGGTTAAAATCCAATAATTTTAATTTCTTTATTGTGATCTGTACCTCAATTAAATATAAGCTAATAAATGCTTTTTTTTATTACATGTTCATTTTAATGTTCTATTGTTTGATTTCTAGAAAAGAAATCAAACAAAGGAACATTATGATAGTTTTATATTTAGATAACATGTTTTGCTGTGACTGCTTCTTCATATACTGTTTTTCTTGGAACTAGTTATGGTTCTATTATCGTTATTGATGTGTCTAAAAATGAAAAGCCACGAATTATTTTAGAAAAATCATTATACAAAACAGCTATATCAAAGCTATGGTATGATATGTCAAAAAATTTAATTAAAAAAAAATGTATCAATAACATTATCATATTTAAATATCATTATTACAATTATTAATATTGATATTATTATTATTATAATATATATATATATATATATATATATATATATATATATATATATATATATATATATATATATATATATATATATATATATATATATATATATATATATATATATATATATAATATATATATACATATATAATATATACATATATATATATATATATATAATATATATATATATATATATACATTATATATATATACATATATATAATATACTATATATATCAGTATATATATCATATACATATATACATATATATGTATTATATATATGTATATATATATATATATATATATTTATATGTATATATATATATATATACATTTTATATATATATCATATATGATATATATCAGTAAATATATCATATACATATATATATATATATATATATATATATATATATATATATATTATATATATATATATATATATATATATATATGTATATATTATATATGTATATATATATACATATATATATACATATATAATATATACATATATATATATATATATATATATATATATATATGTGTATATATTATATATGTATATATATATACATATATATATATATATATATATATATATATATATATATATATATATATATATATATATATATATATATATATATATATGTATATTTATTCATAGTATTTAAATACTCATGTTTTGAATAAATTGTTTTTTTGACTAATAAAAACAGCTTTGATAACACTGGAACTTTATTGATTACAACATCTGAAAAAGATCATCTGATTCTGTTAGATGCAAGGCTGTCTACAAAATGCAATATCTTAGGACACACTGGTTAGGTTGTTTTCTATATATTTTAATATTGAATTTTAACTAAGCAATTTCATGAGAAAATGATGTTTTCTGAAAAAAAAGTTTATCATTTAGAGATTCCTGGTTCAGTTAAATGCATTAGTTTTAAATGCGTTTCTAATGGTAGAGATGCTTGGAAAGTTGTTCTTGGTGTAAGTTATAATCAAAGTAAAGCATGCAAGAACTTGGTAGTATTAGAATTTGACAAGAATATATTTAATGGTAAATATACTCTATAGTGTTTATAATATGTATTATTTGTAAATGACCTGTCTAGATTAGATATAGGTACTATTACTTGATTTTTAATATCTCTATTATAAGCTAGGTGACTAGTAGAAAATGATTTTTAGTATCTCTATTATAACCACTTTTAAAACTTAAAAGGTTTTAATTACTTTAATAATAAATAATTTTAATTAATAAAAATCAAATCACGTGCACATGCCAGGTTTTGGACTTGTGGAAGCAAGTTCTCTAGGAACTTTTAAAATGCTCCAAGTAGCTTAATTTTTTGAAAAACAACTAATTATTATCAAATATCGTGTGTCAAAACATCATTTGGTTAATCACGGACTGTTAAAAAATGTTTTAGATTTTTATAAAGGATTTTTAAAAGAGATCTGAAAAGTCTTGAATAAAAAATCCGCTTTTTAATAGACATAATAATCCACTTTTTAATAGAGATAAAAATCACAATAGACATAATAATCCACTTTTTAATAGAGATAAAAATCAACTTTTTAATAGAGATACGAATCCACTTTTTAATAGAGATAAGAATCCATTTTTTAATAGAGATAAGAATACACTTTTAAATAGAGATAAAAAAGTACATTAAAAAAAAATTGTGATAAGTGTATTGCATGATAACAATGGAACAATGATTTTCAAAATAAAGTTTAATAATTGTTGTTACTTATTTAAAAAAAAAATAGATTAAGATGAAAATCAATTTCAAAAACTTTTTTGAAATTGATTTTTATGAAATCTTTTTGTCAGGAATTCATACTTAATGGTTATTTGTTTGAACAGACAGGTTTTTTTAGTATGCCTTTAAACTGTGAATATTTTAAAGCTGAGTTACAACTACAAGAAAAAAGTTTGAGCTTAATACCATAAATAAATCAATTGTGTATCTTTTACTAAGTTAACAATAAATGAAAACATGAAATACAGTCTTTAATTTACTGCTTCGCTATTCCACTTAATTAACTATTATACATTTATTTCAATACTATTCCAACTTTCTGCTGTTAAAAAGCCATCAGATTTAGAATGACTAGAATCAATATTTTACTTTCATAACTGTAACAATAAGTAATGTATAAGGTGTTTTTTATTTTATTAGCAGCAATGCTGAAGCTGCATAATGTTAATGAATAATAATAAACAATCAAACAATGAAATAATGAAAAGCAAGCAAAATTAACATAATTATCAGATAAAAATTATCAGATACTTACATCCCAAAATAAAAGTTGATTCTTTGTTGGCAAACATGTAAATGAATACATGTTGAGTAATTCTTATCTAATACATGAAACACCAGTTCATTTTTTATGCAGGGTTTTTATTTTACATTATAAAAAGAAACAAAAAATTAGGATCAAGTCCAATGACAGCAATCTTTTTTAGACTTTTAACTAAGGGCTTACAGTAATTGAAAATATTTTTAAAAAGTTTTTTTTTTTTTGTTATAATTTTGATGATAATCTTCTGACATATTTTACTGTTTTTTCTTGTGTGTTATTTAAGCTGTGTTTTTAGCTGGCTTTTGATTGTGCATCAGTATGTATTTTATGACAAAAATGGTTCCTAATGTTACTTTTTATTTTTTTATCTGTGTTAAATCCTTTACAAAAATTTTCTTCACCTGCGAAAGGTCAACTGCTAAATTATGCTTATAACGCTAACCAAACTGCATGATAAGTAAACTAAAATGATTTAAAGTAATCTAGTTGCAATGAAGTAGTTCATGAAATTTGTTTAAAGCAAATCATGATGCATGGTCACAAAAAATATTTTCAGAAAACAATGCAAGTTTTTTCAACATCCTAAAGTTTTTATCATAATAAAACTTGTAATGTCTTTAATAATCATTTTTTCTTCAAAAAAAAAAAATTTCCTGCTATTTTAAATCTGCTTGTATATCTATTGCCTTTTCTATAATAGTTAGAGACCGACTCCACCAAATAAGCTCTTATGTATCCAATACCCTGATAACTTAATAAATCTCTTATGGAAACCAAATTTATTGATTGGCTATTTTACTTTGTATCATATATAGTAGTATTGTTTATTATGTAATAATCAATATTCAAGGTTTTTAATTTAATTTTCATGGCTTGTGTTTCAATACCAAGGTTTGTATTTAAAAATTCAATGGTTCAGTATTTAAGGAGGTTAGCAGAATAACTTTTTAAAAAACAAACTATTGTTTATTTTTTAACATACTTAGCTATACCTTCATAATGATTTCTTCTCAAATCTTAACATTAAATTATTATTTTTAATGTTTAGATAGTATTTCATATTATATGGATAGAACTCGCCTGTTTAAAGATATTTCTATTTTAAAACAAACATACCAATTAACCACATCTATATATAATATATGCATACTGTCTGAAATGGTGGTATATGCTCTCATGGATAATGGTAAAAAAATTGCAAAGTTTGAGCTATCTCCATTTGAGGTATCTTTAATAAATTTTTTAAAGTTATTTTTTACTTTATTTGCACCACATTTAATGCAAGTTCTATAAAACATGAGTGTTTGTTTAATCAAAATTTTTATAGACATGAGAATATTTTAATTTAAGTAAATAAAATTATTTAGCTAATCTAAATTTTATGTTTGGTGGTTTAAACATTCCTCTCTCCATGAAATTTTATATTTATTTTAGTGGTTTAAACACTCCTCTTTCTATTAAGGATAAATAAATTTCTCTCTAAATTAAGAATAAATTGCTATTGTAATATTATACATCATTTGCAAAAAGTAATTTAGAAAGTAGATTTAAGAGTAAACATTTGAGTAGGGAAGTTTTATTTCTACCTCTCTAGAATTTTTTAGAATATGAAAATAATTTTTTGTTTATACTTAGTTAAGTATTAAGTACCTTTAGATTATTTCATAAACAATTCTTTAGTTTATTGGAGTGTTAACAGAAAAGGGACATTTATCATATTACCTTATATATGTATTTGTTAAATGTACTACTGTAAATACTCTACATAAAATGTATTATTGTAAATACTCTACATAAAATGTACTTGTATAAAATGTAAATGAATCTTATATACTGCAAATATTATTCAAAAAAAGTTATTTTAAGTTCAAAACTATTATAAAATTTTTTAACTATGTATGTGAAAAACTTTTAATTTTGAAGTATTCTTTAAAAAGCTTGTTTTTAACATTGCCATTTTTTTTGCTCTAAATAAAATTTATTATCTTTATTTAGCACCTGACTTAAGTTTGGTTTTCGTAAGACTTTTATTAACTAAACATAAAAATAAAAGTTTTTCTGTTTTTATAACATATATTTCAAAATTCTGAGAAACTAGCTTTGAGTTGTGTGCACTATTTACCCGAAAAATGAAATTTTTTAAATGCGTGTTTTAGGTTTCTTCAAGCAACAAAATAATAGAAACATCTGAAATATACTGCAATCAAACTGTATCTTGTAGTGTTATTTCAATCTCTTCTCATGGGAAATGGATGCTTATTGCAGGTGCTGATGGTTATTTGACTATCAGAGAAGTAGAAGCAATGGTACTTTTTAATATATATTTTAATGCAATAAATGTTTGTCATATATTTGGTGTGCAGTCTATCCAATCATGATTTTAATTTTTTTCAATGTAATTTAAAAAATAAATTTATTTTAAAGTTAATTATATTTTTGAGCTACGTAATGAAAACTAAGGAAAATAAGGTTAATTATGGATATTTAATAATTGCACATTTTGTTTTGATTAATTATAATTGTTGTTATTCTTGCGTAGAATAACCCAGCAATTAAAAAAGTGGCAAATTATCGTAACGGTGGCATTGTTGATGCAATATACAGTGTTGATGGTCAAAATATTTTGGTGATCAGTAACTGCAATCATATTGCATGCTTAAAATGGATTTATTCAACATATGGCAAATCAGAAGCTTACTTTTCAATAGCTGCATATCAGACTTTTGCAAGTACTATTTTAGATATAACAACTGAAGAAAATAAGTTTATTGGAAGCATGAACACAATATCAGGTTTAATGAACTTTGAATTTCTAGAAGAAAACAATTTTTATATTCATCTTCATGTTTGTTTTTAATGCAAAAATATTTTATAAAAAATTTTAACTTGATAAAAAATATTTTAGATTACTTAAATTTTTCTTGTTTTAAGTTAATGGAAAAGTTACTGAAACATGTTTGGAAAAAACTATTAAAAAAGTAAGTGTTTTTATGAAGATAAGAAAAAATTTTATATCAAGAAAAAAATAAATGATTGATGATGCAATGTATATATATATATATATATATATATATATATATATATATATATATATATATATATATATATATATATATATATATATATATATATATATATATATATATATATATATATATATATATATATATATCTATATATATATATATATATATATATATATATATATATATATATATATATATATATATATATATATATATATATATATATATATATATATATATATATATATATATATATATATATATATAATGATTGTCGTAATAGCATAAAATAAGTAATTATTTTTAAAAATAACACAATGTTTTTTATTCTTGACATGTTTCGTAAAATTTTATTTACATTTTCAAAAGATTATTTTACAGTAATAAAACTCTGAAATAAATATTAAAAAATAGAAGTCTTTACATAATGAACCAATATATTTATTAGAAAATAAGTAATTTACATAATGAACCAATATATTTATTAGAAAATAACTCGGTAAATAACCAATCAAAATAACTAACTGTCAAAAAAAATTATAATAATGATAAACTGACAGTATTTTTAGTATTATTAGAGTACAATCCAATGTACGGAAACTTAAAGTATCTTATTAAATATTATTATATTTATGCTATTAACAATATTAGAAACAGATGGGTTCATTTTCTTATCAATATAGGATTTAATTTTAGAGTCAATAATTTTTTGTAGAAATTTATTATTTAGTAAAAGTAATGATAGATTCTTAATATCTTTATCAAAACCAACCCAAATATAATTAATTTTTAATGTACGATCAATCAAACGACGAACAAGTCCAAATTTGTAGCAAAAAAGAATAAAACTTAAAAGATTTTGTAAAAGACCTGTATATATTTTTTTGTGATAAACTGAAATCAATAATGAATTGGATTTTTTAATAAGTAGGGGAGAGTTGCCGAAATTGGAACAGTGTCTTAATTGGAACACTTACATTTATTTTTGAAAAAAAATTAATTATGGCTATATTTTGCATTTTTTTAGTAAAACGCATTATTTTCTACGTTTTGACTCATTTTGAAAGTTATTCCTCAAAAAATGCGTTTGCACCATTGATTTAAAGTTTTTTTGCGTCATTTTTTTTCAGCAATCTAATTTTGTGTTCACACTATATTGATTGCGCTGAGTAAACTATGGGGCTACAGGTTATACCATTTATTGTGTTTAATTTGATGGGATTTAAAATGCAAAATATCAATATAAACTTATCTTATAAGTTGCTGCAAGCATGTTATTGTAGTAATATAACAAAATAGTTGAAAGTTTCCTTGATTGGAACATTGAAGTTTTCCTTACCTAATCAGTAATAAAATCAAAAGGTTGTATAAGTAGTTCAAGTACAATTAAAAAAATACTTAGTAACAACCATAAGCCATAAAAGTAATACTTTATTTAGTGATTTTTAATCAATAAATTTAGAGAATGTTATAACAGTTAAAGATTTATACAATTTTTTGTTTGTAGACTTTAAATTTATCAGGGTAATACTAATCCTATAATAAGTTTTGAATTAACTGTTTAAATTTTCACTGTAAAAATGAAAATCATTTTTTACAAATTTTTATCGATTTTACTGTTTTTTTTTAAAAAAAAAAGTAACCTGTTCTAATTAAGGAATCAAAGTGTTCCAATTTAAGAAACCAGTTGCCTTGATTGAAACAAAATGGTACCTTTGCAAAAACCAATTTATTTCCAATAACAGTGCGATCAATTAAGTCATGTTGTGGTTAAAAGTATAGTAGGGATGTCACTTTGTATTATTCAAACCATAAATGTTTTCATAGTAAAGCCATCTTTGGTGAATAAATATTTGTTCCTTAAGTGTTCCAATTAAGGCAACTCTTTCCTACATCTAAAAAGGCAATCTAGTTATCTTGTTCTTTTTCCATAGTAAATTTAAAATTTTTATGTTGTTTATTGAGGTGTTTGAAAAATTCTTGAGCTTCATATTCAGAATTAAAAATGGCAATTATATCATCCACATACCGTTTATAAAATAGTGGTGCTGTAAAGGAGCAATTATTGATCCATGCTTGTTCATGAAATCCGACAAAAATATGTTCAATAAAAATGTGAACCGGATGTGAAAATCTGAAGTAATTTTTTAAACTGAATTTTTGAAAAACGTTTTGAGTTAATTTTATCCTTAAAAAATAAATCAGTTGCTATGTTAATGGTTCCTTAAGTGGAATATTCATAAAAAAACTTTCAACATCATATGAAATGATAAATTTATTAGTTACATTAATTTGTAAATTAAAATGTAAAGTAATTTGTAACTCTCAACCAACTCAACAAACTAAAGATAGGATTTTCAGGACCAGATGATCTTTCTCTGCTTCTACTCAAATCTGCTCGCTTTGTTCCATCACTCTGTATCCTATTTAACCGCCTTATAGAAAACAGTTACCTACCTGACCAGTGGAAATCAGCAAACATAATACCAATTCCTAAAATATCTAACCCACTCTTATCTAATGACTACTATTCAATAGCCATTATATCAGCATTATGCAATGTTTTTGAAAGCATTATTACCAATTTTATTTTCCATTACACCAAGCACATATGGGTCTCAAACAAGTAGTTTAGTTTCCTTTCAGGTTGTTGTACAATGGATGTTATTATTTAAACTATAAAGGACTGGAGTTATGTTAAAGATAATAACCAATCAATTTTTGATTTTTTGATTTTGATCTTGTCAGTCATGACAAATGACTGTTAAAGTTAATAAATAAAAACATGATGAGTCTTTATTGATAAAACACATTGTAAAATAAAAAAAAAAAGATATATATATATATATAAATATATATATATATCTATATATATATATATATATATATATATATATATATATATATATATATATATATGTATATATATATATATATATATATATATATATATATATATATATATATATATATATCTATCTATCTCTCTCTCTCTCTCTCTCTCTCTCTCTCTCTCTATATATATATATATATATATATATATATATATATATATATATATATATATATATATATATATATATATATAAGTTATGAAATGTTGTAATAAATTAAGTAGAAAGTTATGAAATGATGCAATCAATTATGTGGAAGAGTTATGAAATGTTGTGAATAATTATGTGGAAGAGTTATAAAATGTTGCAATTTAAACACCTATTTTTTAAAAATATGATTGACAAAAGTATTTGTTTACATGAAAAATTTCTCATTTTCACAAATAAATATGATTTTCTATTAAATAAAAGAAATGGGTTGATTTTAAAATGAAAACATAACAATAAGTTTCTATTTCTTTTTTTTGACACCAGTGATTAGCTAATCTTTTGCTTTTTTCTTTGGTTTAATTTAATTTGTCTCTTTAGCAACTTAAAGAACTCACTACATTGTATATTGTAATTTTTAGCATTTTTTTTTTTGTTTTTGATTTTGTTATTCATGGCTTATGATTGCTGAATAAGCATAAAATTTAAAGTGTCCTAGTAAAAGTTGCTTTTTCTTTATTTAAATATTCTTGTCTCATTTTTAGACTCTCAAGTCTCATTTTCAAGTTTATTTCATTTTCACGTTACTTAACAAGTTATTGTTAAATTATTTTATATTTTTTACACAATATTTTTTTCTTTACTTTTTTGCTCTAAAAATATTAAAAAAGTAATTTAAATGCTACTATTTTAAATACTATTATGAAAGTAATATATATAGTTAGCAAATGTAATATTTAAATTTAATATGAATGAAATAAATCAATATATTTATTAGCATAATAAAACAAAATTTAAAAACTAATTATAATTAAAAAATATACTTTGTTTTTTATTAAATAGATTTATGCAGAAGAAAATGAAAAGTGTTCAACAACAAAAACAAAATTGTATCAAGATATTAATGAGTTACGTTGCCAAGTACTTAATCTAATTTCCAATAATGACCAAGTTCCAGACATATATAAACTTGAAAGGCAAGAGTTTATTTTAGATACAAAAGAGCATGATTTTGTATTGCAGCAAAGAGAAAATAAAATAAATGAAGTATGTCTTTTTATTAAATGTATTCATTTTTTTACAATAGTTTTGTTTTAGACTTAATTTTAGGAAAGCTGTTTGAAAAATCAATTTACATTTCTTAATAAAACATAAGTATTTTTATTCAGCTTCGAGCACAAATTGAAATTGAAAACATTAGAAAGCAATATATAAGATATCTTATTAAACAAGAGTGCTGGGACAATATGCTTGTTAAAGGTTGTAGTTTAAAATCATTTGTTTCAAATGTTAAAGTTTCCAATTATCCAATGAGAAAAAGAAGCGAAGCAGAATTAAAAAAAATAGAGGCTGTAAATTTTCAACGTTGTTTGCAAAATATTGAAAACAATATCCGGAAAACCTTTTTTGAGCCTGAGCTGATTTCAAGTCCACCACTATTCGGTATGTTTATTAACCTTTTTCAAGTCCACCACTATTCGGTATGTTTATTAACCTTTGACGCTATTAAGACATTATAAAAACATATAAAAAATTATTTAATATAATGTTCTATCAACAAATAGAAATAAAACTAAAAGATCATTTTTTGTTAAAGTGTTGACACGTTTTGTTTTGACTTTTCTATAGACAATCTTTTGGAAAATAACAATGATGCAGAGAATAATTATTTTGTTTTGACTTTTCTATAGACAATCTTTTGGAAAATAACAATGATGCAGAGAATAATTATTATTTTTTGACTTTTCTATAGACAATCTTTTGGAAAATAACAATGATGCAGAGAATAATTATTTTTCAACTTGTGGTAGTCTTGCAAGTTTATTTACTCATAACGAATTTCTTTTAAGTCAATTTTCACTTGCTACCAAAGTTCAGAAAAAGGAACAAATTATTTTGCTAAAGGTTTGTTCAAATTTTTTATTTTTTTCTATTTAATTATATTAATAATTTTTTGTTTTGTTTAATCACATGTTTCTTTTTGTAGATAATCACACACTTTATTGTATGCAGTGTCACATATTTCATGCTGAATGTTTTCATGTTTTGTTGAATCACATGTTTCTTTTTGTAGATAATTTATTGTATGCAGTGTCACATATTTCATGCGTTAATACTCTACTTACAATTAAATGTTTTAAATTTATAGTTATCATATATAAGTATAGATTCATAAAATATAGGTCCTAAGCACTAATCTTTATCAAAAAATTTGTTTAAAAGTGAACTAAAAAGGTGACTAAACAAGTTTTCACTATAGACAAAAGGATCAAATAAATTTATGGAAAAAAAAACATAATATTACTTATGATAAGTAATAAAATTGATTCATGAAATTGAATTTTTATACCAAAATTGAGAGGTTTTAATGGTTTACAAGATAAAAATTTTTTTGTTTATTTATTTGTGGGGTGGCACAAAATATGATTTTTGGAACCATTGTTATTAATATAATTTTTATAAATGACCTTTTAGATGATGCTGAGAATTATCTTAAATTGTATTATGTTAAGTTGTTGACAGATAATGGAAAAGTTTTTTATTAAATACTACTATGGTACCATAAAAATGCAAAAATTTTTTACTTTGCAATCTTTAAAAAGGTTAATAAAGTTCAAATGCATGAAAAGCTAAGTTAATGGTTGATTGAAAATTTAAAATCATGTGAAATCAACTCGCTCATTGTGTAATTTACTTCCCTAAATTAAGAATATTTTATAATATTGTGTATTGCTGGTAAAAATCAATTTAAAAAAATTTTAAAATATTGTATTTTCCTGGTAGAAAACAAAAAGATAACTTTATTTGTATCCCTAAAAATGAGAAGTTTAAAAATTTAGGAAATTAAAAAAAAACTTTATCATTATTGTTTACATGATTAAAACTGTTATAATCATTGTAACTATACCAAGAATTTTTTTTCTTTCTTAAATTTTTATTATATAAATTATTAAAAATAAATCTATGAATAAAATATCATTATAATTACAAATAGGAGTTAGAACTTTTTTTATTTTTTTTTTACTTAAGGTAGTACTTATGTACATATTGTTGCTTTTATCATTAATAAAAAAGTGTTTTTTTTTTATAAATTTATTCATTTACATAGTTTTTCTGTTTTTAAGGATTGTGTCTACAAAATTAAGGAAAAATTTAATGCACAATTTAATGACATGTGGAATATAAAGGTTCAAGAAATAAAGCGCATAAATGAAAGATGTACACGAATGAAAAAGATTATTAAAGGTAAATTTTTCTCAATTCTTTTAGGAAAAAAATTTAAATAGATTTAATTGCAGTACTTTTTGATTTGTTATCCAATTTAATAATTTTGTATACAATCTCTTGATCTGGTATCCAATCTCTTTTGTTTTATAGAGTTGTTGATTTATTTTTGTTTAGGTTTTATGGTATTTTTTTGTTTTCTCTTGACATATAGGGAATTTTTCAAAGTATTGTTCTAAAAATTCTTTATCAAATTTAAAAGTAAATTTATATAACTTCAGATGTCATAAAACTATTTTAAGACTATGGCATAAATTTCTATGTACAATGTAATATCTTTCTTAAATTCAAACTAAGTTTGAGCAGGATTTAAATCAAATTTAATAGACATACCGATTCTTTAGGATATTTGGTAAGCGGTTTTTTCTTTCTTCCCAAAAATACCTGTTGTTACTGATGAAAAGTTTTTCAAATAACTGTTTTTTTAAAAACTTACTTGTTTTGATTTAAAAAATTAAAAAATGCAGCATAAAAAAAATGAATATATTCCTTTACATTTTTTTTTTTTTTTTTTTTTTTTTTTTTTTTTTTTTTTAATTTGCATTCACTCCCAACAAGGCTGCAAGCAACCACTATTAAGTTGGGAGTTACTAGGAAAAAAAAGAATAAAGTTATAGAGCAAGGAAACGGTTGACAGAAGACTTGAAAAGTTGAAGGTTGTATGAGTCAGGAAAACATGAAGATGGGAGAGAGTTCCAAAGGATTGAAGTGCGGGGAAAAAAAATAGATGAATAAAAGTTTTTAGAGCATGCAGGGACAGATACAGTAAACGAATGAGACTTAGCTGAATGACGAGTAAAACGAGAATGAATTTTAGTTGATGGAACTAGAGATGATAACTCCTTTGAGCAGTGACCATGATAGTATTTGTAGAAAAGAGAAAGAGATGCAACTTTACGACGATGGGAAAGAGGTTCAAGCTTAGCAGATAGTCCAGGTCCAACAACATTTACAATGCGTTTTTGGACCTTGTCAAGAAGAGAAAGTGCATCGTTAGAAGAACCAGCCCAAATATGACAACAGTATTCCATACAGGGACGAAAAAGATTTGTAGAGGTAGAGAATGGAATCAGAAGTAAGGAAATGGCGAGCACGATAAAGAGAAGCAACCTTAGAAGAAGCTAATTTAGCAATTGATTGTATATATGGTTTCCATGAAAGGTCAGTAGTAAGCGATAATCCAAGAAGACGTAAAGAGGAGGACTCAGTAAGAGGATTGCCATTCATTAATATAGGAATGTTGACCATATTACGGTAGTTGTTTGCAGTAAGTAACTGGGTTTTTTTAGAGTTGAAATTCACAAGCCACTGTGAACCCCTTTGAAGGTTGAAGGTTGAAGGTTGGCTCTTGCAGCCAACCTTCAACCTTTGTCACATCGTCGTAATGTTGCTTCTCTTTCTCTTTTCTACAAATACTATAATGGGCACTGCTCTAAAGAGCTAGCGTCTCTTGTGCCATCTACTAAAATTCATTCTGGTGTTACTCGTCATTCAATTAGGTCTCATCCTTTTTCTGTTACTGTTCCTAAGTGCTCCAAAAACTCTTATTTGTCTAGTTTTTTTCCTCGAACATCAGCTCTTTGGAATTCGCTTCCTTCATCTTGCTTTCCGGATTCATATAATTTGCCATCTTTTAAGTCATCTGTCAATCGATATCTTGCTCTACAACCTTCATCTTTTCTCTTCCAGTAACTTCCAACACTAATTAGTGGTTGCTTGCAGCCTTGTTGGAAGCAAAGATGTTAAAAAAAAAAAATTTAAGAATACTATATATGTCATAGAAGTAACAAATTGTTTAAAAACAATTTTTTGAAAAAAGGTACAAAGTCAGATGTAAAAAACAAAAAAATAACTTTAAACCAATTTTTTTCTCCACTAACAGACTTTCCTTAAAATCAGTAAAAATATAATAGAAATGAACTTTTAAAATTAGAAATACAATAGAAATAGCACTTTGAGTTTATTGAAATTAAGTGTAACAATTTTTAGCTGTGTCATTTTAAACCTTATTTTATCTACATTGCATTATCTTTAATTTACACTTTTAAGGTCAACGAGATTATTTGCAGATATGCCATTATACTGAAAAGAGCCTGCTGCAGAGGTGGTATTAAAATCATGTTAAAACCATACAAGGTGTTTAGATCCCTTAACTATGATGTCGGCATCAGCATCTTTTGACAGAGATAACTACATAGAAATAGTAAAAGTTATCTATTTAACGCAAAGTTATCTATTTTACCAGACTCCTGGTTAACTTTTAATATTCTAGGTCATAGTTGAAAAAAGTGCCAACAGATGAGACTCCCTCAGACCCTTTGGATACAATGTAAAATTGTAAAACCTTTCAAAGTTGCTAACAACTCATCAGAGTTCACAGCAAAATTATAAATCCATTGACCATAGTTTAAAAAATTTATTTCTCAAAACAAGAAATATATTTCTTGTTTAAAAAAATGAATTGCTAGGAGGAAATATATTTCTTGAAACAAGAAATGTATTTCACATTTTAGAAATAAATTGCAGTGTGGGCATTTATTTCTTAAAACAAGAAATGCATTTCTTGTTTTGAGAAAAATATTGTAGTAAAAAATTCACTTTTTTTGTGGTTACTTTTAAGGTCAACGAATCCATTCTATAGAAGTGAGAAATATAGTCATCCATTCAATTGATTTCTTGGATTATTTTTACACTGAGAATAAGAAACTGCCTGATTTTGGGGAAATGCAACTTGAATTTCATATAGCAAAATGTCTTTTCTAAAAACCTGTAAAAACCAGTAAAATTTTAGAGCATGTGATCTGGAGAAGCTTAAAAAGCTACTTCAAATAAAGAGTTCTTCTTAAGAAGCTTTAAACAAAGAGTTCTTGTAAAAAATAATTAAAAAAGGAAAAGACTGGTTACAAGGAGATAGCTACAATGACTGCTACCTCGCTATTTTTTTTTTTTTTTTAATTTTTACTTAGGTACCCCAAGAAGTTTTTACGGTCTTATCACAGAGCACCACGGATGAGCATTTAATCAGAAGTATATATATATATATATATATATACTTCTAAAGAAGTATATATATATATATATATATATATATATATATATATATATATATATATACATATATATATATATATATATATATATATATATATATATATATATATATATATATATATATATATATATATATATATATATATAATAAAAAAATATATATAAAAAATAAAGAATAATGAAAAAAAATATTGCTGCCCCATGCCAAACCCTCAATTGATGTAGTGGCGTTCCTTTGCAAAGGTTACAGGATAGTCAATGTATATACATATATACATATATACATATATATATATATATATATATATATATATATATATATATATATATATATATATATATATATATATATATATATATATATATATATATATATATATATATATATATATATATATATATATATATATATATATATATATATATATATGTATTGTGCTTTAAAAAAGAAAAATAGGTGCAGTAAAATATTTAGTATTGCATCCTAAAAAACTGACAATATTTGCTCTTATTCATAATTGTTTATTTGTTTATATTTTAATTTGAACATTTTCATAAAAGTTTGCATAAAATTGCTTATGACCAGTTTAGTCACATTTGGAATTTTTTTAAATACTTTGATAAGATCTAAAAGATACACAGAAATATGTTGAAAAGTAGTGAAGCAATAGCAGCAAATAACTATGAAAAAAGGCTCCATGATCAATAACAGATAAAAAGCAAAAAGAATAAAATTTCAGAAATTTTTGTCTGAAGAATTCTGAAAACATTTAAAATGACAACCAGCATCCCACTTCATACACGATCCGGAAAGTTAAAAAAAAAAAAGAAATTATCTTTCCCATAGCTTCATTTAAAAATTTCATAAATATTGGTTGATATCTTGATCCTCCTTTATGAAATTGAAATTTATAGTCCTTTTAAGTCAAACAAAAACAAAAATTACTTTATAACAAATTGAGCAATGTTGAGTAGAGTTGCAAAAAAAACCGTTTTTTTTTAATTGTGTTTTTTTTGCAAAAAAAACATGTTTTCTTTGTGTTTTTTGTGTTTTTTATGGTTTTTTTTGTTTTTTAGATTAAAAAAAAAATTATTTACTTTTATTTAATTTTTATTTTTATTATAAATGTAATATAATATATATTAATAACATGATATATGGTAAATATATAGTACATCATTTAAAAGATTTATTTTTAATTAATAACAGATTCTGTATTCTGGCTTTCTTGTTCATTAAGGTCTTCTATTGTAAAGTCAAATCCGTATTGCATCCACAACTATTCATAACTCAGAAAAATAAAATTGCATCCGTATCCGGATGCAATTTTATTTTTCTGAGTTGTGAATGGAACTCTTGTTGAAGAATACAATCGTTTTAAGGGAGGCTTATCTGATTTGGTTTTATTTGCCTTACAGTCTCCAAACTTAGGGGTTGTAGACCTACTTTGGTTTCCAAAACAGCTTGGTGTTGGAAAGAAAGACTCAATTGGAACTTGTGGAATAGCAGATGATAAACATATTTTTTTCTCTTTTTTCATATCTTAAATAGGTAAGTTTTCAGGAATATCTTCTTCCATCATTAGTTCAGTTTGAACTTTCTTCTGTTTAAAAGGCATATCGTTCAAATATTTGTTTTTTATTTGATCGCCACATTTCATACATTTTGCAATGTGCTCAGTCATTCGAGTGCCATTTTTTGATAGCTTTAAGCTGCAAAATTTGCATATAACTTGTTGAATTTTAGAACCTCCAGATTCTAAAGGTGCCTCATTGAACAATGTAGCTACAAAACATTTCTTTCTGCCTGGCATATTTTTTTTTAGATTTCTTTTTTTTTTTTATAATTAAAAATAATTAATAGATTACAAATTGTTTAATATAAATGTTTTTTCATTAGACAAAGTTAA